AGGAAGAAACTTGTAAAAAATCAAAAGAAACACGACAAAATGGAAGAAACTAAAAACTCACATTAAATTTAATACAGATGGAATCATTTAAGCCCATCTGTAAATTTTTATAAGGGCAGGCAGAAGTAAATAATACAATAATTATACTTTAAATCTAAAAATTTATCATTATTAACAACTGATAAACTGGTTAGAAAAATTACAGAATTAGTAATTTCACAAATCATTCTTTTTTAAATACTTTTGAAATGACAAAATTGTGTCGAATTATACTTATATGTTACCTTAACTGTAAGTTGAAAAATATTTCTCTTAGAATAACTTAAATTACCAAGTTATTATTTTTATTTTTTTTAATTTTTTAATTCAACATAAGATAGTGCATGAATTTATCTTTAAACAGCTATTCTACCCTATATTAGGATTTCCTTTTTAATACTGCACCTACTTTAAGATTTAGAAATACATTTGAAATATTATAAGTGGTTAAAAATTGATTACAAAGATGTTTTTTTTCTTCAAAAAATATCCCTTTTAAATAAAACTACTTTTTAAAGATATAATAAGTAGAAAAAATTTATATAAAATTTTCCCTTTTTTCTTAGTTGGCATTCAGAAAAATTAAAACAAAGATGCATCAATTAAAGTGTCATTTTGAAAATGCTGTAATTTATAGCACTCCACAAGTATCAATGTAATTTTACTAACTAAGACTTATTAACACAATATATTTACAAGAAGTTTTAAAACTATGAAAACTTTATGCAAACTTATATTAAAGTGCTTGGTAAATTTTTTTATTGTTGATTTCTTTAAAAGAAATTATGAATTTTTAAAAAAATAATCAGTTGATGTAAATCATGACTTATACCAATGAACCCTTCTTTTTACTTTTAATCTTGAGAGCTGTTTGTAATATGTTAGTAAACTTTCATGTATTTCAATTAGAAAAATACATTTTCCCACAATAAACAGTTCATTGAATTCCGTTAATCACACATTTTAATTAGCTAATTATTCATACAATATATTTACTTATAAATATTTTCAGTCTCAAATTTAGAATATGAATGCTACAATTTGATTTTAGGTGATCCGAAGAGGAGAATGAGCAGAAACCAATGGATAGTAAACAGCATGGATAAGTGAATGTGAGAATTAATGTGTTAGAACCTACAGAAAGTAAATAATACAATAATTATAATTTAGATCTTAACTGCTTCAAGCTTATAACTTATTAATGTTTGCTCTTACTCATTCTGATAACGGAATATTTTTTTTCTAAGCAAAGTATTAGTTTTGCATTCTTCAATTTTGAATGAACAATATTTTAAAGCCACTGTGCATAGTAATAAAATTTTATAAAATTACATTATTATGCTGACTGATAAAGAGAATTTTGTGTCAGGAACATGGTTCATATAAAAAATAACATAATTGTTATTTGGCATGAGACATTTTATAAGTCCTCTGCAATACAAGTGATCCTTAACCTCAAAAGTTTGTGCCCCTCAACAATAATTTTAAAATTAGTGATTTCCCAGGATTGTTGCAAAATTTTTTCAGGTTTAAGCAAAAATATTTAATATTCCTTAATAATTCTTGTCAAAATCAAACTTTCAGACATTTACAGGCTTTTCAGAGCCCATCAGGTTGATCTATAATTTGAGCTATAATATATAGTACAGGTAATAGAGTATTTTACCAGGAAAAATTGGCAGGAGTTTTTATTTTTTGTACATTTATGTTTTTTGGGGTGCTAAATACGAATCCACATTTCCTGACCAAATTTTTTTTGAGAAATATATTTTTCCGGAAAAACCTGCTAAAATTCAGTCTTTTGTATTCAACCTTTACTTGATTTAAGACAAAAAAATTTTGGTGGCATATTTGAAAACTGGAGAAAATTTCCTACTAATTCTATGCTTTCAATTTGTCTGTAGGATAATAAATTAAAGAATTATGAGTTTGAGAATAATGAATAATATAGCAGAATGATGTCTTTCTCAGTACTTTTGCTGAAAAAATTGAGAATAATTAATATGAGGTTAGAAATTTATAAAAAAAATTTCATAGAATCTACTGATATATAATTAAAAAATATTTCCATTCTCTTGAAGGGAGAACTACCCCTTTTCCAATAACCATAATTTTTCCAAAGTCGTCATTTTTAGGGTTTTTCCAATTTTAATTCTCTGTTTATGACCCTACATTTTTACGTAATTTAGACTTATGACAACACTAATTTCCGACCTCCAATCCCACTGATCAATTTATTCTCAGACCCTGAGAAGAGAGTTGACCCCTTAATCCGCCCTTCTAAATAACTATAATTTTCTTTAAAATATTTCTAAAACCACTATCTCTCTCTTTTTCAAGGTTTCTGCAAATAAAGTTTGAAATGTGAAGTTCTTTCTCCAATTTTTTATTTGATCTAAAAAATGAAAATTGTTCCCCCTCCTGACAGCCCCATCCTCAAAAACCAAAAAATTTTAAGGGAATTTCTCGCAATTTTTTTAATTAATAAGCAATCAAATTTAAGAATAAGACTTTTAACATTTCAATGCAAATGAAACATTTACATGAAACAAAAATACCAATCTAACATTGTAAATAAAAATGGAAACAAAAATAACTTTTATTTAGCAAGTTTAGTGTAAAATTTATCCTTTTGTAATAATAATAATATCCGAGGGATCCTAGTTAGGTTGTGATAAATATCAATATGTTGCCCTCCTCAACTATGTAGCTTTCAAGGATATGAAGCTTAAATTATTGCACAGATAAATGAATCAAAATAAATTTTCCTTATTTTTTTCTCACATATTTCTTGAATATGACATCAATGATAGATGAGAATGTCACTTTGAAAAGATCATCAATAGCATAAATATGAATAGCATTAATTATCCTTATTTATTTCCAACAACTGAATTCCACAAAAAACTGATTAAATTTAGATTTGTTACTTGCAATACTGGAAGTTATAATTCTGTTTTTGGAAGGAAAAAAATTTAAAAATTTAAGAAATAAAATTATGTCTAGTGATAAACATTTTATTAAAAATAACAACCAAGACATTATTAAATATTTAAATTACAATAAAATTAATATAGTATTCTTACATGTGATTATGAAACTTTATTTACGAGTATACCCCACAGTAATTTAAAGAATATTTATTAAGAAATTTTTGATAAATATTTGATTAATGAAGATATTATTAGGGAAGATTGGATTAATTTAAGTAATGTAAACATTTTTGAAAATTAACTATTTAATGGTATATGTTTCTACAAACAAATTCAAGGTATCTCAATGGGAAATTGTTACTTAAGTGCATTTGCTAGTATTTTCTCACATTTTTATGACCATAAATTTTTGCAACATAATTTATTAATTGAGTTTAGATTTATTGATAATTTAATAATTTTTTAATGTAATGATTTTGATTTAATTAAAGATATTTATCCTAAAGACCTTAATTTAATAAAAACTAATTTAAGTTTAATGTTATTAGTTTCACACATTTTAAATTTATTGGTAATAATAAAACAGATTTTCTTTCAGCTATTAAGAATTTAAAAATCACCTTAGAGAATTATGATTTTACTTTTAATTATTGTAATTAAAATTTTTCAATTCAATATATTTTAAAGGAGTTAAACTAATTCGACCCATGTTGAAGCCCGCAAAAATAGGCCTACACAGTGAAATTTAGGTTTTTTTTTTTTGTTGTTCCTGAAGAATATCGATGGAATCTTTTCATTGCATTTTTATATCATTGAAAGTTTTTGCTCTCTTTTTCAAGTTTTTCAAAGTGGTCAACACTAAATTTTTAAAGATCTGGAAATTTATATTTTATTTCGATTGATAACTTCATCTTCATTTATATTTCTTATATGTAGACGTGTCCTTATAAGTATTTTCTCAGTGTATTTTTGACTTGTGTTTTTTGTTATCATTAAATTTTGATCATTATTTAAATATTTGAATTTTTTATTGCATTTTTTTAATTATTTTATTAATTATTTCTGCATTATTTTATTGCATTAGTTTAACCATTATAGGGCATCTAGGCACAGTCAGTTTTTGGTTTAACCACTGACAACAGAAAGGCTCCAGTGTGTTAGCAGACAGTGCGTCCCCAGATGAAGTGCCGTTTTTGCTAGCATGCATGTCTTTAGAATTTTGTTTTTGGTTTATCCTTTTATTTAAATTGTTTACACAAAACAAATTTGGTTTTAGCTGCTTTTAGCGCTTTTCTGTTTTGACTTATTATTTCAATATTTTGTTCTTAAAGTACTTTTCTTAAAATTTGCTTAAATCAATTTTATATTTTGACAGGATTTTGATAAGCAATTATCATTCCTGTCCAAATTATTTTTGCCTAGTGCAGTATGTATCAATGGCCAATTGAAATGTATACCCCTTTCTGTCTCTCACTCTCTTCTTTTCATTATGCATTTGGATAGGAGAACTCACATAAGTGTTGTTAGAAGTTCAAATTGAGTAAAAATTTGAGATAAGCAGAAAAATCAAGAAAAACCCTAAAAATTATAATTTTGAAAAGGTTTAGAAAAAATTATCATTATTTGGGGACGGAGAGTTCACTCAAGTGGGTGGATGTCATTCCTATGCTATAGTAGTCATTACTCCCACAGTCATAATTCTCTGATTTATTACCCTATGGATACATTGTAGGGATAGATTTTGTATGAATTTTCTCTAGTCTTGATAACATAAAACTGGATTTAGTTTCTTCAAGAAAGTAAAGTTTCAAAAAGAAAGGTAAGTAAAGTTTCAAGTAGTTAAGTTTCTTCAGGAAAAAAATATTTCCCAGAACAAATTTTAGTTGCAAAGGCAGATTGATGTTCACTTCAAAAAACAAAAATGTACCAAAAAAAAATAACTACTTTCGCCAATTTATCCAGGTAAACTCCATTTTTGAGCTCTTGCCTGGACTACTGGTAACAATGTTAAGAATGAAAAAATCTTACCATATCTAGCATATATTTTAGGTTCCACATTTCTACATTCACGAACCAGCATTGGAAACTGTGGATTACTTTTCTTCAAAGGAACATAATGCTTTTGTATAAATTCTCTAAAATGAAATTTCAATAAAAAGTACTTAATTTACAGTTTCAATTAAACATGAAATCAAATAATTAAAAAAACAATTATTTAAATTAAAGAAAAATAAAGTAATCTAAATCATTACTGTAACAACAAAATATAGGGTGACAGTTATTCTAAAATTTTATATGCAATTTAAAATGCATTTTTTCCCAACAAATACCCAAATAAATATACCCAATATATAATAAATATACCCAAAACCTTTTTTCTGAAAATAGGAAATGATTTAAATCTTCATACTTTATAATTAATTAAAATAACTTTTTTGAAATTATTGACAAATAATTTAAAAAATATTATTATTCACTCACTTTTGAAGTAAAAATGTTTCTCAAACCTTTTTTTATTAAAAATCATTAAAACATTTTCCATGTAATTATAGATGCTTTAAAAAAGGCATCATTTTCTTCTTCTTCTTTTTCTTTTAATTGCTACTTTAAACACCAAGTCAAAACACTAAAAATGCAATTATAGAAATAAAAAAATTTTCTTACATGAAAAAAAATTTTTTTTGGATGATCTGAACAAGAAATACTTTTTTCCCAGTCAGACAAATTTTGTTACATGTTTTAACAAAAAAGCATTACTTTCCATTAGAAACACAAATTTAATATGTTTTTCCAATAAATTTTAATAATAGATCTTAAATTTGAAACCTTAGTAATAATGATGGAAATATATTTATGAGTTAATCCTCACCGCCTAGTTTATTACTTAAGAAGACTTTCCATGTCCTCATGCTTAAGAAGACTCTTTGTTCATTAAAACATTAAAGTGTTGTGGATGGAGAGAGGAAAAGGTAAACATGTTGTCATAATTATGCCAATATAATTATGAAATCAGTATTCAAATTATTACAAATCAGCAATTAAATTATTAGAAATCAACAATAATTAAAAGAAAAAAAGTTTAGTCATCATCAAAAATTTGTTAAGAATAGAAAGCATCATATTAACTTATAATCCATCATGAAGAGAACTACTAAATGGAAGTGCATAAATTATGGCATACGCGAGAAGTAATTACTTGTCAGGTAGCACAGTGGTCTGGTTAGACAAAGAAAGTACCGTCAAAAAGATAGTGCAAAATTTCTCATTACATTTAAATGTTGTTTTTTTTTCAGATTTATGACAAATTAAATACAATGTTGCAAACTGTGCATAAAATTTCCTTAAACAATTAAACAGGATTAAGCTTAATTTAAACTGAATTTACACTGTGTTTAAAGTTAAAAATGTGCATATTTTGTTGAATTTCATGAAAACAACTAAGAGAAATGTAAAACTACTACTTCAAAACAAAAATGTAAATCTTGTTTGTCGAATACGCAAGCATATACGTGTGTTTTGGTAGAACTAGAAGAGGAATAGACTTTGTAAACTGGTATGGCGAAACCTGCATTTTGTTCGCTCACACATCTTGATGAATTTCATAATGTCTTTTTGCAGCAATCAGTTTCTTTTAATTTGATTTTAAGCAACAAAAATGAGTAACCAGCAAATCTTGTTTTGATAACCGAAAATAGAATTTTTTTTTTAATCAAAATAAGTAACATTTGGACACAGAAACTCAGTTATTTTAATTAGGTGTTATTTAAAATGTAGCCATTTTAAACTCTTATGAGTTGAACACAAAAATTTTAGCAAACAAAAATGAAATTTGAAAATAATAATTAATCTTAAGTCATCTATTTTAATAATATCAACTTATTTTGATAATTTTTTTATCAACAAAACAATCAAATATTGAAAACAAAATATGAAATATGTTTTATGAAAATGAGGAACCTTGGACATCGAAACAAAGCGACAGTGAATATGTTTGACAATTATTTTTAACATTTTTTTACTGAAAAGTAGCAGCAAATTTGATAACAAGGAAGAATAGTTACTGGTGCAATAAATAAATAGTTAAAATAAGTGTTTTCAATACATTAGTCTGTAAATTAATCAGTCTTTGAAACCCATCAGAACCTAACAATTAAAGGGAAATGATGAGTTTTCGTGAGGATGCCTATTTAAAAATCCGAAATGGTTAAAACCAACAAAGCACAGAGAACATTAAACCAAAATAGCAATTATCATTACTGTTTTAAAAAATGCTGTGTCTCTACTTTTTTTTAAAAGATCAAACTTATTCTTAGAAGCTGATTGAGATGCTTTAGAAGCGACTGTTTCTTTTGTCACTTTCCTTTCAGTTGCTTGAGATTTTAGTTCCTCTGCAACAGTTAAATTTGCAAGCTGAAACAGCTGAATTTTATCACAACTAAAAATGACAGCATCCTTTTTACAAAAATTGCAAAACCCACATATCTTCTACGAGAGCACCATATGCATAATTTCTTTCCAGAATCAATCTTTTGATTTAACCAATTGTCATGAAATTTTAAATACCAGGGCATTTTGTACAGAAAAAGAATTCGGTTCTTATCAATAAGTGCTTTAAAAACAAAAACGTGCACTGATAAGTAAAGATTAAAAACTGTGCACTATTCGTTCAACTGCATGAGAAAATCGAAAAATAAGAACTGCTAAATAATACATCTGACCGAACATAAATATGCATGAAGAAAGATCATTTGCATTCCTTGCTTTTAAAACCATAGAAATAAGCAAGCAAAATAGCAGTCTATTTTCAGGGTGAAAGCTGAAAGGCAATTCATTCTAATAAGTGGCCAAGATCATGGAATGAAACAAAACACAATCTTCTTCCTTTTGGAAAGTGGTTGAATCCATTCCTTATCTACAAGAATGGGTTTTTACCAGGAAAATCAGCTGTGTAGCAGTATTTTATTGTTTTGTTTTTTTACTTGCCGTTTTGAATTCCTCTTTTCTGTGCAGCATTTCAAGGAAGTCCAAAAAAAAAACAACACCCAAATTGAAACTCAATTTTGAGAAAAAATGTGAGACAAAACACTGTTTTTTTTTTAAGTCCCGTATATATTCTTAACGCAAGTAGCAACTTTCTGCTCATTGAAGATGTGCCCTCATATCCTTACCATTTTAAAAATTTCAAATTTAAATTTAATTCTTCGCAAGTATTGATTACCTTATCTAATAATCTTTTCCAGTAATGTCTTTAACTAGTACAAAAGTTTAAAAAAAAAATTTCAAGACTAGCCCTTGATAGGTTTTTTCTAAATATGGGACAGGGATAATTGTTCAAGTCCGCTAATGCCCAAAGTTTCATAAGCTAATATGCTGAAACATTCAAATTTATTGATTTTTCCACAAGTGCATTTAAAATAATACTTCCACAAATTTAATAAGCTTATTTTAAATTTGAGGACTAATGTAGCACTTTTTAAAAGCTGCTTTAATTTATTAAAAATTTATTCAGAGGCTTTTTCACAAGAGAATTCGGTATCGCATGGCTTCTCTTACTTCTGACTACAGAAGAAAAAACAGAATAAACAAAATGCACCATCCAAATTTCATAAATATTCTAACAAAGATAATTCTTTGAAATTTTGATTTTCTCCTTCCACTGGTAGGAAACTTCACAGATTCATGGCATGCCCATTTTTTATCATCAGTATATTTTTTATCATGCTCTAGTCATCCAATATCTTTTAGCATTGAATCACTTCCACTTCTGATAACTGAGGCATTTAAGAATGGAATGAAAAAAATCATCTCTATTGAATTTAGAGTAGCAGAGCTGAACAAACAAATAATAAAAATCTACATTGTTTTTAAACGTTTTCAACAAGAATGAGAGACAAAGGAGTTTCAAAGATAAAAAGCAAAAACTTAAAACTATTGAATAACAAATATTAACTAGTATTGAATAACAAATAAAAAAAAAGGCATTAATACAATTCACATTCAAAATTAATAATTTTTGAAATAAAGCAGAGCTGCAAGAAATGGAACAAAACAGTATTAGTTTAGGGATGGAACAAAACAGCACTAGTTTTAATAAAGTAGTAAAATAAAGAGAAAGAATCCATAAAATGAGAATAAAGGTTAATTGAAATGTTTGTTTTATTGTTTGTTTAATTGTTTCACTGTTTGCTGCTTTACTGTTTGTTTAGAAAAATGTGCATTTACAATTATTATAACAACTCAAATACTAACAAGACAGAGGTGACAAGTGGTTCAAAAAAATTTTTTTAAATTAATTTTCTTTTAATTAAATTAATGAGCACACATAATTAAAGTTATAAAGATAACAAATTTCATTTGGAAAAACAAAAACAATGTAATAGCAATCAATAAAAAATAGAAAACAACAGAACATATTAACGTTTGGTCTGTTATCCCACTGTAAATCTGATGGGATATCCAATCAAGTTTAATACACACAGGATCCTTTTAATTTTATAGAATTTTTATTTAAAAAAAAAAGATTATAAATTTAAGAAGTTATCTGGCAAAATTGACTTGTGTTTCACTAGTCTGATGATAATACAGAAATCATTAATAAATAAAACTTTTAAGCATTATAATTCCTAATTGGTTACTTTTTATCTTGTTTTAGTCAAGTATTTTAATGAAAGAAGGTGTAAAAGAACATGGAGTGTTTCAAATTTTATATCCAATATTCTAAATCCCTTCATAATGAATGAAAATTGGAAAATGAATTCCTTAGAAAAAAGCAAGTTGGTTTCCAATGTGGAAGCAGAACAACGCAAATATCTTATCAATATCTCAATCTAAAATTATTCTAACATTCAAAAACAAAAATTCAAGGAGCAAATATGAAATCCAAAAGACATCATGGACAAGCGAGTGTTTCATACAAATCAGGGGATTTTAAATTTGGTTTCAACTTATCATGGTCAGGGTCATAAATAACATGGTTTAAACCATGTGATTTCTTTAAAGAAACCAAGCCTGGTTTTTTTTTAACAAATATTTTAGATAATTAAATTTTCTATTATTTATATAAATTGTTGCAGTTTGATTATAACAAAATGAGAAAAAATTAAAAATATTTACTATTTTGAGTTTAATTCCTACTCGGAATCTGTATTATTTCAAATAATCATAAAGCTGCAATTTTTAAATGTTTAGGAATGAAATGGTTTTCCACAAATATATTTATGTGAAAAAATGTGGGCAATTTGCCCAAAAGAAACTTGTTTTTTTCAGGACAGTGGTAAAAACTGAAAAAAATCAGAAGAAACTAGACAAAATGGAAGAAAGAAAAAATGACCAAAATACAATTGTTTAACGTTAATTGCTAAATTATAAGAATAACTCCAATTAAACAGATTAAATTTAAAACTGTAACAGAAAGTTTAAATTTTTTCATTTACTTTTTTTTTAATTATTTACTTATTCATTTATTAGTTTTTTAGAGAAATTTGAAATCTATATATCATATTTATTAAGAGTTGGTTTGAGTATTCATACTTTATTTGATTATAAAAATCAGTATGCTATTTATAATTAAGAAATTAAGAATCCAATATGCGTTATTAGTAGTATCTATGTTTAGTACTTGATTTTTTAATTTAGTGTTTTTAATAAAGTTTGATTATGCTATTTTAATAGTTCTTTATATAACAACAAAATTAAGTTTTACTACACTCTTTAACACAAAATATTGAAAAACCAGTTATTTTAATTTTCAAAGAAATTCATTAAACAAATTTCAGAATTTTTTCTGCTTTTTAGATTTCACTTATTTAAAATTGATATTTCAGAATAGATCAAATATTAATATTATTGTTTGAACTAGATCACAATTACAAACGGTTTACAAAAGTTTATTTAGATATCTGATATTTTTTTTTTTTTTTTTTTTTGTTTTAAAAAGAGTTTCATTTGGATTGGAAGAAGCCGATTTCATTTAGCAGTTTCTTTTCAATGTGGAAAAAACTTGCTATCCCTGATTGTCAAATAATGTGAGCAAATTCAAAATTAAGTCATAACATCTCTTAAAAATGCTTAGAATAAAAAAACCATGCTCTGTAGTTTTTAAAATTATATGTAATTATTGATAGGGTTCAAGTTTCACAAAGCTTATTTTTATCTACTTGTTAAATACATTATGCCTGTTACAGTCAAAAGTAGAAATGTGAATGAGGTGCTTTTCTAAATTTAATGTTTTCAGTTTAATTTTAGAATTATTTTTTGTCACCAGTGTTAGTAAATTTGCATCGTACACATGAAGTAAATATTCATTATTGTAATTTATTGTTTCATATTAGATTTAAAAAAAAAATCTGTTAACAAAAAATATTAAATTTATTTAAAATATTTTTTATATATTTATTTAATGCTGCAATATATCAATAAGAATATTGCTAAATTTTAAGCTCCTTTGTGTTAAAATAAATGACCAAAAAAAATTTCTTTATTTCCCACACCTTAGTATTAAAACATACCTTTACTATTTTATAAGTTTATATTTATGCAGTTCATTTGTCTTTTACATTTCTTTGCATCATTCTATGAATCTTAAATATTTTTTAATTGAGAAAATATTTTGAATTGAATATCTGACACTCATTTAAATCAAAGTTTGTATCACTTCAATAATTAAAAAACAAAAAGTTTGTTTTAGACAATTAACTGATATTACTGATAAATAATGGCATTAATGTAAATAATGTAGAATTACAACAGTTTCATATATACTAATTTTTAACTATAATCACAACTAAAAAATTATTTAGATATTAAATATTTATTTGTTAGTTAAGTGGAGTTGTAAAGTAACAAATATGCATATTCAAAATCTTTACTAACTATACTTTTTATCATACATATCACAGATTTATGAACAAAAGTGAATTTTTTTTGGTTTTCTTTATCAAAATATTAATACAGTTAAAACCGAGAAAAAAACTGGTTTAAACCAAAAAATAATCTTTCTTTTTTTTGGAAAAAAAAAACTTTTTTCTAACTTAGATCATAGTACTTGAACACAAACCCATCCACATGAAGAAAATTTGTCATGTAATACAATACCCAAATGGCGAAAGTTTATCATTTTTTGCATTGCAATAATCATCAAAAAACACTCTGATTTGATCCAGGATGAGCAAATAATGCTAGAAGGATGAAGGACATAAACACATAAATTGTAAACACATAAATTAACAACAGACAGAGAGAGTATGACTGCTAATATTAAGACTTTAAACTTAATGGCGGTTTAGAAAATGAAAGAATGTTTCTTCCCCATACACTGTTTCCCTAGCTATTAACATGGAAAACGAGTTTTGCTATACAGAAACAACTACAGGTTAAAATACGGCTTTTACATGCAGAACTGTCAGCGAGTTAAAATAAAATGCAAAATAATATTTTAAGCACCAGGTTGAAACGTATTTTATTTAACTATTTATTAAGGTTTTTCAATGAATAATTCAAAAATATCCTTTTCTGCTCTTTAAATGTGCTAACATAGTAAAATTTAAACAAAAAAAGAAAAAAGAACTGAATACTTAAACTATGCATTTTGTTTTATTGCATGTGAAAGAGTGATTTTCTCCTTCGTTGCTGTAATATAAAAATATATTTCAGCACTATTTAATTACTATCATTATTCAATTAGTATCATACTTTTACTGCATACAATTTATAACGTTATTAAATTTTATATAAATACTCCTAGTTTGTTTTTTTTAATCATTAGAATCAATACAAATTTTAATACAAAATATTTAAAGCAATATCCCATATATATTTTATATAAACAATTAAAACAAATTGATTATAGTGGAATGATGAAAAGGAAAAAAAATGATAAATATAATTTCATATAAAACAGTAAAAGTAAGCTTTAGTACTAATGGTTTAGCAAAGTACAAACTGCTTTTTTTCATTCATTTAAACATACAGCTTTAAGTTAAATAATATAAGGGTTTGTAGTGTCAAGGTCTAAGATATACATTATTGGGGTCGTCTTAAAATTCCTGATAAAAAAATATCTCATCATTATTTGTTTTGATTTATAACTTTTTGTCCTCATACTCCCAATTTGTGAGTGCTCAAAACATCTCATTTTCTATGAATACAAATGAAGATTTTAAAATAATTGATTCAAAGAATTAAAAGATTTGGATTTTTGATTCAACGTCCTATAATTTTAATTCCTAGTCCAAGTAAAAACTACAAAATTCAATTGTCTAAACTTATGTAAGAGACTGTCCACTAAGCATATATATATGCATCAGGCATATAGCCTTACCGGCAAGAATCCTTGTTTCTAAGTTCTTGAGACCTCTGTGATTTTATAAAGGGAAAAAAATACTCAAATAAAAAATTTCTCATTCTCAATTTTTTTCATGAATTTAGGAGTTTGTAAACTAATTTATTATTTTCAGTAAATGTAGTAACAAATCTTTAGGGTGAATATTTTCACGATTGTCAATTTTTCTCCTTCGTGTGATTTTAAAAATGAAAAATTCCAGCAACAGTATCAATCATATCATAACATTTTAAATGTGGAATTAGGGCATTGTCTATGAAATTACTTTTGAACATTAATGCAAAGTGGCATATTGACTTTTACTTTTGATATTATTGAAGCCCTACTTTAAAATTACAGTATTCAATTAAGGAAGTTCTATATTAAATTATTAATTTCAATTAAACATTTGTATGACAGAAGACTAATTAATGAATATTAGTAATTTTGTTTTTTCTTATGCAACAGTAGGATTAAAATCTTCTAAAATATTGATATCAAACTGTTAAGCATTGTTCAGTGCTCCATCAATTAAATTTTTTGGAAACAGTCAAAAATTTCTGCTCTGAACAAAATAATTCTGGAATAAAATACTCTATTTTTTATTGTACTTACGTATTACATGAAAAGAAATACTCTATTATACAATTAAAGTAATGTAAATAAATTTAGAATTTTTTTTGTTATATATAATGTTTTTTGGATATAAAAAAATCATTTTGAAAATATTATAATAATGAATAAAAATCTTATTACAATACAAATTTGTTCAAACTCATAACAGAAAAGAATTTCTAAAAACATCTCATTTTAAAATCTATCAGATTATGTATTTGGTGAGGGTCTATTTTATTTCAAACATTTCTAGATACATAACCTAATTTTAAATTTGCTCACATTAATTTTATTTAATACAAATATTTCTGCAGGTTAACAATCATACGTAAACATTTAAAAACTATATATATAAATTTTTTAAGAAATGCAGATGTGTATCATTAAACTTATATGAGAAAATTTAATATTTTTTCAAATGTGCTAGATTCAAACTAAAACTATTTATATGAATAATAAAAAATTGAAACTTTAAAAATATTTAAAAGAAACAAAAACAGGCTTCGCTCTTTAAAATCCATCTATTTTTTGCATCATCACTTCAAATCGTTGTAGCACTCATTTTCCGATTCTATTATTTGTTTTTGTAGTTTAAATATAGGTTACGTTATATTTTTTGTTATTTAATTATTCGTAGCATTTAGAGCAATTATAATTCTTACGATCTATTACACTGCTTTTTATAACTAAAAAATACCAAAATATATTTTTGCTTGAATTTAGAGAGTCTGAAAAAAATATATTTGTAAAGAGACCCCGATGCAGTGCCCTGGTCTTTTTCTCGTGCACCACTGCCCCGATGTCGTCAAAAAAAAATCTCCATTGCTTTTCAATAGTATTTATCATGTGAACATAAGAAATATGTTAAATAAGTCCCTGCAAATGATCTAAATAAGCAAATATTATACCTGAAACCTAAACTTTCGTTAGAGTTCTGACATAAATGGAAACGAAATTCTTTTAAATAAGGACCTAACTTCAAAGCTTTTGACATTTTTGAACTTGTCTTTCTTTTACACTTATATTTGTTTATTATTTACGTTCTTCACAAATTTTTCAGACGCTTTTGGCTGCTTACTATTGCTGTAGAAATGCCAAAACCGAGCTCAGTACTTCAGATTAAAGGCCTATTCCTTCTGCGTGCGGTTCACGCTTTCGGTTAATATCACCACACAAAGAAACTGCAAGGTTTGCCATGTTTAGAGTGTTATCCTTTATTTGGCAATGGATGGTGTTTTCAATAGAAATGTAAACAATAACAATCTCGAGCTCGGGACCTACTCTAGTTCCGGTTAAAAAGTTTGCAGCTGCTTACTACATGCTATTCTGATAGGCGATGTTTTCAAACGGATAATTCTGTTTTCAATAAAAGAAATTAACTAGATAATTTCTGAGCTCAAATCTGCCGTATTTCATAAGATATTAATGTTATTATGTAATTCTGGGGAGTTTGGAGTGAAAATTTGCTTTAGTTATTTTGTTATTTCTTATTGAAAAAGGTGACATGGTTGCTAGATTTTGAATAACTCGATTTTTTGGCAGTCTTGATTTGGCCTCTTTCCATTTGTTTATTACTGTTTGTTCGTGTTGCAAGATGTGCACCATCTTACGCTAGTGTTAACACTTTTAGTATTGTAAACAGTATTGTTCGCATTGTGAACATAAGTAATAAATAATCAAATGCATTGTTTGCAAGAATCTCAAAACACAATTATGCCAAATGGCTTTAAAATACAACTGAAACAGTAACCCGGAAATTTAGGCAGTCCCGAGCTTGCAGCGCTCCCTAGTGTAGAAAACACCATCCATATTAGTGAGAAATATCACAGTAGAAATATAATAATATTTGATGGCGCCCTGCGTTTCAAGTCTAAGCTTAAAAATCAATCGGAAGTAGTGACCCAGAAATCTTACGACGAATTTTAACTGGTAACGCCATCTGTTTTTAGCTTTACTCGGTCAATCATCCATATATGGACGTTAGCATATGCACTAAATCCTTCTGGAAGCCTAAATTTTCCCTGAAGGCTGATAATTTCTCTACATATGAACTTGACGCGTCAATGAAAAAAAAATTACAAACAATTAATAGTAATTTAGTTAGACAGGGACACATCGTCACCTCGTTCCTAATACCTCATTTTTTTCATTTCCTTTCAAACCTTGAAGAAATGTTTTGAGCTCCGAAAAAATGACTTATCATATAAGAAAACTTTTTTTCATATTCTTCTCCTTTCTCGTGATAGAACACACTTATTGCTCTTTTGTTTTTCACAAAATGCTGATAATTGGTGATATAATATACATGCATGATAAATATAATTTATATTGTAAGTGGTGCTGAATAGCCAATCCATATTCAGTTTGTAGCTACAGTTTCCAAAATGGAGAAAAAAAGAAGACAAGCCTTAACACATTATATTACATAAATATATATTTACAATTCAGAAAAACACTCTACAATAGATCATAATTCAAAATTTATTTTTCAAATTGTGATATAATGACATTTGTAAGCTTAAAAATGATTCTGAGAGCACAAATTTAGAAAATAACCACATTATTTTTTTGTTGTAAACACAAGTTGAAAAAAATATATATTAATATATTAAAACAGCTGATTATAAGTGCTTTTTATCAATAGTTATAAATCTATAATATCTTGTTTTCCTTTCTATCTCCTTTATACACGGAATTCTTTTCATGATCTCCCCCCCCCCTCACGCTCCTCCAACATGTACAGAATTACTGGAACCCCAACCGATAATTGTCAACAGTACCTCTCTGCATCAAGACGTTCTTTTAAGAAGAAAAAAAAAGCATTCCATTATAACTGTCTTCCCTGTAAAGCATAATAATAAATTCCTTCTTTCTCATTATAATCAATGACCCTAATTAAGTTTTTGTTTCAGAAAATTCCACTAAAATTTGTATTCTAATTATGGCGCTAAAATAAGGCGATATTTTTTCCAGCTAATGTTTCTCTCCAGCATTGCTAAGCTCTCACCAGCAACGTTTTCCCGATATCGAGCTCATTTTTCCCTTTCTAAATTTTCTAAGTCCGTTTGTATTATGGAATCGTCCTGTACCTAGTCTCTTGTCATGCGAAGTGTTGCCATAGGTAGAGAGTTCTGCTCTACGCCACCAACAGCCGGTTTCGATCATCGCCAATTATGGTTTTGATTTTAACAAGAGAAATAGTCCCGCAGTGGACTGATCGTTAAGACACGGTTCCCAGCAGATTACCGAAGTCAAGCATCACTGGCTGCGGTCAGTGTGCGGGTGGGTGACCACTTGGATCAGCCTGCGTAGGGACCGAGGGTGTGCGGTATTGGTCCTCGTTAAACTGTTCTACCGTAAAGTGCTCGACTTCACGTGCAGGTCGTCGGGCTACCGAAGCGGGGGTGCCATCCCCTCCGCAGAGGATCAAAATTGTGATGGCATGTCTTCGGATCATCCTCAGGGATGTTTCCCAGACCGTCGCCAATAGCCCATTGTGCAGCTCTAGTGCGACGTAAATAAAGAACAACAACAACAAGAGAAATAAACAATATAATTTCTGAGCTCAATTCTGCAGTATTTTATAAGATATTATTGATATTAAGTAATTCTGGTAAATTTGAAGTGAAAATTTGTTTTAGTTATTTATAGATGCATCGTTAAAAAAAGGTGACACGGTTGATTGATTTAGAAAGATCTCGCTTTTTTAGCAGTCCCGATTTGGCCTATTTTTACTATTACTGTTTATTCTCATCAGTGGCGTAGCGAGCTTAACTCGCGCCCGGGGCACAATACCCTTTTAGCGCCCCCCCATTCAAAAACCATATAATATTATATGTAAAATATACTCGCAAATAAATAAATAAACAAAGTAAAATAAATAAAGTCATAGACTCAAGCTAGGCTTTAAATTTGAGACAAAAAATGCAGTTGAGAGAACAAGACTAGATTTTGAAATGTATATGATCATCTAGAATTAGTTCAAAAGATATCTATTATTTATTTTACATAATTATAAAGAAATATTTTAGAAACACGCAGTTTTAAAACAATAAAAAAGTAAATATTTATTATCTCTAAGGAGATACATATATTTAATAATCATCTATATTATATAAAACGCTAATACGCACGTATGTGTAAATAAAACCGATGATATTTCTTTTCTCGCGTAGGCAACAGTTTTTATTTTTAATTGATAGGCTTCGGCGCGCAAGAGCACGTAGTGAGCATTATATGGCTAATCTATATTATATAAAACGCTAATACGTTTTAATTGATAGGCTTCGGCGGGCAAGAGCACGTAGTGAGCATCATATGGTTAGTTGGGTGAATTCTCACCGAATTATCAAAAAAATTCTCACAAAATTATCTTCATCGAAGCCGATGCTTTACATCCGGCGTTCAGTACTATTTCATATTGTTTTACAACACATGGTTTTAGCCCTCTGGTGGGAAAGACTTTAAAACAAAACTTACAACAGTTACTTTTCTCAAC